TGGAGTAGCTGCTGCCTGCAGGGCACACGGGTTCTGGACACCAGAGCAGCTCCCTGCCTGCGGCAGGCAGGGAGCTGCTCCAGTCCTGATCAGCTAACTAGAACCGGTAAGCATCACCCATTAAGGGTTAACTGTCACATTCTTAATGGAGTTTATCCTGGAAAACTGTTGCACAAATGTTAAAGAGTGTCAAGAACTATAAGCCCAGCAGTTTCAATTGCTTATGTTGAAATTCTTCACTTCCTGTGTGCAGCTGGTGTGCACGGCTAAATAACTGGCATGTCATACTGTTAGATTACTGCATTTTGGTGGTAGAAGTAGTAGTACATGCTGTCAGAGCTGTTCCCCACTCTGGCTCTCTGAGTGCAGGAGGGGGCCTGCAAAGACTTTAAATATACTTTGCCACTACAGGCACCGGTTATAAAAAATTGCCCCAAAATCACAACACAGATTTTGGGGAGCTGCTGCCACTATCAAGTGATTTTTATCCCTAAAATCGGGGTTGAACACTTGAACCTACCCCCAGAGTACCCCAAGCTCTTCTGCCACAAGAGAGCTTGAAAAAAGAAAAGAGCTGCAGTCTCTCATAGCTGACCCCCTCAGTCAGACATGCAGACACACACAGACAGACTTCCTGTACTTTCCAGGACACAAGAATCAAATCACTACCTTAAAAAAGTGATTTTTATTACAAAACAAAAGATAATCTTGATAAAGCATAATTGGTTGCTGGATGTTACAGAGCAACCAAGGAAAACAAATTAAACAGAGAAAATCTCTGGAAACAATGCTTAGATATAAATGGGGAAAGGATGCATAGATCCACAAAGAGCAGTTCAAACCAAACGACAAAATAAAGAAAATACCCTGATTGTGACTAGATTAACTTTTCCCCCCCCTTTACTTACTTCCAATCTTTTCTTGATTCAGTCCACTTCCACGCCCTGAATTCCCTGGAGGCATGGTAGTCCTGCCTGGGTTTAAATCCTTCTGTCTCTCCACTCCTGGTTTAACTCCCACACAAAGAAAGCAGGCAAGGAATCTTATACAAGTCACATTTCAGCACCGCATGCCCATTGGTTCTTCTGGTGATTGAACCCCTTCATTACCATGTGCCGGTCAGCACTTCTTCTGTCCATTACACATGCCCACACCTGAAGTGTTAACAGGTTTACTTATAACTTTGTAGTACTGAGTTGCTTTGACAGGTGGGATAGAAGTGGTCATTTTTTCCTTTTAGAATTGTGGTGTCACCATGGACAAAGAAATGCAGTTACTGTTCTCCAAGGAACCATTAGCATTTATGGTCATATTTTTGCTACCATAGCAACTTGAGAAAAAGGTGACTATTCAATCACTCTACAGAATAGCATTTGTTAACCAACCTGGCATTAAATCTCACTTCTAAAAGGCTAAATATTTTAGGAAGTGGCTTTTGAATGGGACAAATGGAGTTGTCAGTGTTTGATAGGACACATTTATTAATTATTGAAAAACCAAACAACATGCCAAGAAATGCATTTCCAGGACATTTTGGAACTTCGTGGGTACTCATTCGGCCTCTTCCTATTATGAAAAATGTGCAATGATTGCACAGAATGTATTCTTCTCCTCACATTTTATTGCTTACATGTGGGAGTGGTTAGTGTTAGTGGTACAACTATGAAAATCTTAACCATTTCCACTGCTGTGCTCTCCAGGTACCTGAATGATCTCAATCTAGGGGAAGACTAAGAAAGGAGTTTTAGGGACTGTAGCCTCCCATACCGTAAGCTCCTCCTTCCCATATCCTGCACCCCAACCCTCTCCTCCCAGCCCCCACATTCTGCCCTCTCCCACATCCAAATTCCTGTCCAGACCCCATGCCCATACTGCAACTTCCTGTCCTGAATTTCTTCTCCACGCTCCATGTCTCTTGACTGCAGCCTGGAAGCCCCTGTCCCCTAAATGCCTCATTCTCCATCCCAGAACCTGCAAATGGAGTCAGAACCCTCACTCCCCTTCTGCACTGCACCCGCCCTCTTGCCTCAACCAGCAGCCCCTTTCCAACACTGATCCAAGTTTTGGCCCCATAAAATCTGGTAGCTCCAGACCCCCACCCAAATTAATGCCATCTCACCCTCACTCCCATTTAACTTACATTTAATCTTGCCCTTGGGGGAAGTTCTGAGCCTCAGTGTTCCCCTTCCCCCACTGTGGAGGGCTTAAGTGCGAGGAGGGAGTGAAGCAAGTTTGTGGTTTGTGTTTTGTTTTGTTTTTAATATGTCAGTTGGAAGCCATGGTTGTAAGGGGTTTCTTCAGGAGCAGCTTGAGGACAGCTGCCAGCAACTGGCGCCATAGGCGGAATGCGCGATCAGTGCCCCCACCTCCATAGCCCTCAATGGTGTGACATCATCATTGGTTGCCTACATCCACGGGCTACCCCTGGGTTTCTTTCTTTTCACTTATGTGGGGCCTCCGACTGATTTTTCTACCCCAAAAAAGGTTTACCGCTCCTGCTACATACTTTTATGGGGATATATGTCTAAGGAATTTATTTTTGAGAACTTAAAACAGATTTGTTTCAAATAGTTTCATATGTCTGACATGGCTATTGCAGAAATAGCTTCCTCACACTGGAAATGCACACATTATGCTTAATTCCCAAACCATCTGTCCAGTAAAAGACAGAAGCTGCAATTTAGTGCATCAGGGACAGCTCAAATCTTGGTAAAGAAAAATGTCCTCCAGCTAAGAACCAGTTACAAAAATTTTCATTACAGAAAAGTATATATACAAAGGCTGAAAAAAGTTGGCTTGAAAAAGTGCTTTCAGAATCTACTGTACATGTCATAATGATTTATTTTATAAGCTGCTTCTACATGAAGGCAAGACCTTACATTTGGTGCAAAACATTTATACACATTCTTTACATTTTGTACATATATTTAAATGACTGTATCAAACACTGCTGTATGGAATTTGGAAGAAAATAACTAAAGGGAAAACAAAATATTTATAAAATATGAACAAAACCTGTGCTACTAAATAACATCTGGACTCAGGCTTAGTGATTTTTTTGTTTCAGGTTATTCAGGCAAATCCAGATTTTTCTTCTTACTGTAAAAATATTAGGACAAAAAAATTCAGCATTGCACAACAGAGTAAGGCAACAATAGAACCAACAGAATGTACCCGTCATTTAGCATGGCTTTGTGAGTGAAATAAATTATTCCTTAAGTTGTTTATATATGAGGGAAGATTTTAGCAAAAGCTGCAGTTTGGCATCCAGGCTTGCTTGTGGCATTAAATGAAATACTGGATGGTAATTATGAGAAATTTTCCTAAAGTCTAGTCATTTAGTGGCACTTCACTAGTAAAGACAATAACTGTGCCATTCATGTGTTGTGAACACCATATCTTATTTGCAGCTACAATATTATTTTAAATAAATTATTTGCCACACATCCTGGATTTTATTCAATACCTCAGAGGTCACGCTTCAGTTTGCACTAGAAATTACTTCTTTCCTTTCAGTGTTTGTGGATTATTTTTTGTTTAAGCTGAATGGGAGTCAATAGCATGTTGTGCTACTATATGAAAACCTGAGTTGGGTGGTAATTTTGGGATTCCTGCCACATAGGGTCAGAAGTGACTGGAGGGGCCAGCTCTGCATATACTCTGACTCCTATAAAGGAACAGCACTGAGTACCCTATTAAAGGTAGGTAGCCCAGCACTACATAATATTTAATGTGGTCAGACTGCTGGTGTGAGAATATTTTTCCAGTTTCCTGGAATGGCTATTTCCTTGGTTAATGTCTTTTCTTTGCACAGTGCATGGCCAGAAAGGGAGGGAGAGCCCAACACATAAAAGTTCTGAGACGTTGTTCCACAAGAACAGACTATTAGGCAATTATGGAAAAAATGAACAATTTGCCAGCTATCATGTTACGGAGATTGTGTGCTAGGAGTACATGTTAGAAAGCGCAACCATACAGAGGAAAATGGTCACTGAACAAAGCAATCTTTAAAGATTATCTTGCGTTTGCAACTGAAACATACGTGAACTTTACATAGCTGCTGAAAAGAACACCAACAAAAGGTTGAATGGCATATAAGGAAAATAAAAAATATAAAACCCCCACCTTTTTCTGGTTTTCACTTTTTTTAAATGAAAAAATAATCATTTCACCCTGGTTAAGTGTAAACTGGAAGAATTTGATAAATCTTGAATCTGTTTGTAAATCCATGGCAATACAGACTAGTTTGACAATTTTAATCTCTACACTTGACAGCATTTTCCCACAAGAGACAGCTTTTGTTTAAAACATAGGTATGGAGGAAGGGCGTTCAAGATAAATAATACCTAAATAATTGATGCATTTAGGCGTAAGTAAACATCAAATTATTTTCACTATTTTTTGCAGTTCAGATTTTTTTCCTTTTGGTGTGGTTTTTTTTTTTTTTTTGGTTTCTTGGATGGCAAAGGCTAGCTTTCTATTCGCATTGCCTCCAAATCAGAAAAGCACTTTGAAGTTGTTCTTCATTATCCATCCCAGTTTATTCCTACATCACCGGAAAACGGCCAAGTGCCTGCCTTAGCTTTTGTGCAATCTGGAACAAAAGCAGAATACATGATCATGACTATTTTGCATATTTAAATTACTCAGTTTTCATGCTCATCTTAGAACTCTGCAGAGAAAATTTCAGTTGATTCATTCCTCAAATATTAAACATTCGACTTCAAGAAACAGACTGGAAGATATAGTGCTTTCCTACTCCTCCTTAATGATTCTGTGTATTTAGTGTTCCTGAAAGATATCTGATTGACAGCTTTGGACTCTCAGTTCATCTAGCTATTAACACATACAAATTGGGCAGTGCCGGTGCAAGGTTCCTACACTGTTGTACTAATGTGCCTCAACCACGACCTAGAGGGACATTTCAGTGGCAAAAGCTTCGGTAATTCTTAAAACCATTCCGTGTTTTTCTGCTGAGACCCCCGAGTTGCTAATTAGCACAAACTGATGCAACACTTTTGACATGTCTAATAGCAGCTGCAGTGAGGCAAACATTTCAATAGCTTATAGATCCACTTAATAGCAACTGTTTCTGCTCACCCAAGGGGGTAAAAGATTTCATATTTCATTATCTCAACAGCACACATTCTTTTAAAGCTAAAATTTAATTTCTCAGATTTTAAGTGTGGCTTTAACCACAAATATTTTGGTATAAATTTAGAGGGGCATCTGAACATAGGAGACTCATTTCAGAACTTACATGCTGGGGGAGTGTGTTGAGAAGTAGTATGGTAAACCAGATAAAACTCACTCAGGGTCCCATCCACAGTAACACTGTGAAAGATTGAGAGAGAACTGGAGCAAGAGTAGCAAGAAAAGGGAATTAAGTGTATAAATTAAAGTAAGCCTGCCTCTAAGCCACATCCTCTGGTGCCTCAAAATGTAAATTACATCTTTAAAAAAAACACTCCAAAATAAGCATGTCTGAAGTAGGTCTTGGAGTTTCAGATTAAGGGTAAAACTGCATAACAGAACCATCTCTCAGCTTGTTAAAGTTATACAGCTACTGGGAACTACAGTAAAGTAGTAATATTTCTTTTAATCTACTTTTCCTTATTGTAGGCATGTCATTTTCCATTCCAGTACAACACACATGCACACAACCACAAAAGAATTGTGTTAGAAATCCCCTAAAAATCCAACCCTATACTGTGGTCCTAGTGCTTATCCCACAAATACTATTCCTTATTGTTGATTTATGGGGAGATTAGATTCCTACCACTTCCTGTTTACGGATATTTGGGTCTGTACTTTGGCCTCAGATCCACTTTAAGACATTTGTCTGAGATCTTAACAGTCACTTGTAATGATTTGCAAAACACTTCGTTTTTTACATTTTAGTTTGAAAGCACTTTCATTTTGGTGGGTATGCTAGCAGACCAGATACGAGCTCATGCCAATGCCCCTAGCCCTAACTGAAAAATGACAAATGCACAGCCAGAAACCAGTCTTACTCAACTGTTAGTGTCATTAAAATATGTATTACATTTATAAGAACGTGTTTAGTGTGTGTTTTATTAAATTGTTTTAGCATGCTGCGTGTATTAATCTTATAATATGCTACAGATGTTAAGGTTATATTGAGTGTTTGCATTGTAATCCTCTAATTGTATAAATCATAAAATGGTAATGTAGAAACAGAATGGGTTAGGTCCTGCCCACCAACAAAGCCCACTGACACCAAATGTATCACTGTGAAATATCAAAAGAACAAAGACTGTTACTTGTACCACCCCCAACAGTCCCATGAAGAGGAGGGGCGCAGGTAGACTCCTTTATCTGTTTGAATTCTGAGAGAAAGGAATAAACACTTCTTCTGGGGGAATTCTGCAGAAATTAATGTTTATCCATAATTTCCTTTCCCCCATAGAAATGGGTTGTTGTGCTACTGGCCACTACTAGGGGCTGCTGGGTCAGCAGAGTGTAGATCACACATGCAAGACTCTGCAGGGCACAGTGGGGGGATTGGAGCATTCCTAGCAGCTGAGTTCCCCACATATCCAAAGGAAAGGAGATGGCAGTGCACATAAAACTCCACACAAGCCTAGAACCCAAAAGCAGGCTGTTTCTCCTTCTGGATCCCTGGGCAGTAGGGGAACTGGTGTTTGGGATGGGGAGGGACAGGTGGGCTCTGGGAGGGAGGAGGCTAATGTTTCTGGTGGGGAACCACAAAGGTGGGCTTAAAAGGCATGGAGGGAGGGGTGCAGATGCAGGTATTTGGGCTGGATGGAGGAGGAGGCAAAGAAATAAGAACTCTGTTGTCCTAGGTATTAATTCTCTACTGGAGGAATTTGTTTGTGTGTCTGTATTGTTATAAACATATATTCTTGATGACAAGTATTTTGAAATAAACAACTAAATAATTGAAACTGGCATGATTAAGTACAGGCAGTCCCCGGGTTACGTACAAGATAGGGACTGTAGGTTTGTTGTTAAGTTGAATCTGTATGTAAGTCGGAACTGGCGTCCAGATTCAGCCGCTGCTGAAACTGACCGCCAGTTCTGACTTAGGGCAAAGCAGAGCCAAGCCGCGGAGCGCGTGGGCAGCGGATAACCCTGTCCGCTGCCCGCGGG